ATACAGCACAATGGAAAAATCTCCCATGTTCATGGATTGGAAGGATTAATATCATCAAAATGTCTATACTACCCAAAGCAATTTACAGATTCAATGTGATTCCAACCAAATACCAAGGGTATTCTTCTCAGAGCTAGAAAAAAAATGCTAAAATTCAAATTGAAACACAATAGACCCTGGATAGCTAAAGCAATTTTACAAAAAAACAAAAAAAGCCAAAACAAAGTCAGAGGCATCACAATGCCAGATTTCAAGACATACTACAGGGCAGTTATATAGAAAAGATCCTGGTGCTGGCACAAAAATATACATGTAGATGGAACAGAATAGAAACCTCAGAAAATAATTCATGCAGCTACAACCAACTAATCTTTGACAAAAGAGATAAAATCTATCCCTAGTGAAAGAACAATCTCTTCAACAAATAGTTCTGGGAAAAGTGGATCTATGCATGCAAAAGTATGAAATAAGACTGCTATCTCATACCTTATACAAAAATCAACTCACAATGGATCAAGGATCTAAATCTACAGCCTGATAATATTAAATTATTAGAGGAAAACATTGAAAAACATTGCAAGACATTGGCATAGGCAAAGGCTTCTTGGCAATGAAAACAAAAATTCAGAAATGTAATCATATCAAGCTAAGAAGCTTTTGCATTGCAAAGGAAACACTCATCAAAGTGAAGAGGCAACCAACAAAATGGGATAAAATATTCACAACCTATGCAACTGATAAAGGATTAATATCCAGAATCTGTAAAGACCTTAAGAAACTCAACAACAAAAAAACAAATAATCCAGTTAAGAAGTAGGCAAAGAACTTCAACAGGCATTTTCTAAAGGATGAAATACAAATAGACACAGACACAGGTGAAAATGCTCACTAATCACTAATCAAGGAAATGTAAATCAAAACCACAATAAGGTTTCACCTCACCCCAGTTAGAATGGCTCTCATCCAAAAATCAAAAACCAATAAATTTTAGCAGAAATTTGGGGGGAAAGGTACCTTAATGCACTGTTGGTGGTAATGTGAACTAGTACAAGCATTATGGAAAACAATATCGAGATTCCTCAAAAATCTGAACTAGATCTGCCATATGACCCAGTCATTACACTCCTGGCAATTTACCCAAACAAAATGAAATCAGTATATAAAAGAGTTATCTGTGCCCCCACATTCACTGCAGCTCAATTCACAGTAGCTAAGATTTGGAATCAACCCAGATATCCATCAACTGATAACTGGATAAAGAAAATATGGTGTACGTACACCATGGAATACTACTCAGTAATAAAAAGAAATGAGATCCTGTCTTTTGCAACAAAATGGATGAAACTAGAAACCAGTATGTTTAATGAAATAAGCCAGTACCAAAAAAGATAAGTATCATATGTTTTCTCTGATATGTGGTAGTTAATATAGAATACAAAAAAATAGAGATGAAACAGACATCTTGCAATTTGATTATTATTTTCCACCCTTGCTTATACTCCTGTAGAACAGTGGTCTTTCAACTTCTTACATGGTTAATATTATGGTTAATAGTGCATTAAGCCTGTGATTATGGAGTGTACTGAAATCATGTTTTTACAAAAATTGAAGAAAAAAAGAAAATAGGAAAGGAGGGGGATTGAGGAGAGTGAGAAGGAGGTAGGGAAGTATGGTTATCAATTTAGAATTATACCTACAAAATACATGAAATCTGTTTTCTTTATATTAAAAGATTTAAGTAAATAAGATAAAATAAAAGTCATAGAAAGCATAGCACTTTCCTGGGTTCTATGTATCACTCTACCAGATTATCTGAACTGAGAGTGTTGTGGGACCAGAGACTGCATCCCCTTGGCCAGCTGTATAGGAAGCCAGGGAACCCCTGGGCCTGAGGCTGGTATCTGAAGCAAGGGCAGTCTTGTGGGGGCCTGTTCTTCAATCCATGGAATTCTCACTAACTATGGGCAGTTACTAGTCAGAATTATATTACAGATCTAAAGATTAAATACAATCTCTTGACTTGTGAATAGCTAGGTAATGACCTTACATAATGAAATAAAAAAAATCACACTTTGATTTTTAAAAACCTCCATTCTCAAATAAGGTTATTTTTATTTATTTTTTATTTATTTATTTTTTGACAGACAGAGTGGGTAGTGAGAGAGAGAGAGACAGAGAGAAAGGTCTTCCTTTTCCGTTGGTTCACCCCGCCATGGCCGCTGCGGCCAGTGCACCACGCTGATCCGAAGCCAGGAGCCAGGTGCTTCTCCTGGTCTCCCATGCAGGTGCAGGGCCCAAGGACTTGGGCCATCCTCCACTGACTTCCCAGGACACAGCAGAGAGCTGTACTGGAAGAGGAGCAACTGGGACAGAATCTGGCGCCCCAACCGGGACTAGAACCCAGGGTTGCCAGCGCCGCAGGCAGGGGATTAGCCTATTGAGCCACAGTGCCGGCCCTCAAATAAGGTTATAATTATAACCCTTAAAGAGGATGTTCTATTGATCATAATGATAGGACTAAGAACCAAAGGGATCACATAAACAAGAATAGTGTCTGCAAATACTAGCTGATAGAATAAAAAAGGGAGAGAATGATCCAACATGGGAAGTGAGATATACAGCAGACCCATAGAATGGCAGATGTCCTAAACAGCACTCTGGCCTCAGAATCAGCCCTTAAGGCATGTGGATCCGGCTGAAAAGCCCATGAGAGTATTTCAGGCATGGAAAGCCAAGACACTCTGGGGGGGGGGACCTAAATGAAAGATCTCCGCAAGTGAGATCCCAGTGGAAAGAACGGGTCATCAAAGAAGGAGGTACCTTTCTCTGAAGGGAGGAGAGAACTTCCACTTTGACCATGGCCTTGTCTAAATATGATCAGAGTCGGTGAACTCAGGGGGCTTCCATAGCCTTGGCAGCTCATGACAAGAGCCTAGGGTGATTACTGATGCCATAAACAAGAGTGTCAATTTGTTAAGTCAACAACAGGAGTCACTGTGCACTTACTCCTCATGTAGGATCTTTGTCCTTAGTGTGCTGTACATTGAGATTTAATGCTATAACTAGTACTCAAACAGTATTTTTCACTTTATGTTTCTGTGTGGGAGCAAACTGTTGAAATCTTTACTTAATGTATGCTAAACTGATCTTCTGTATATTAAGAGAATCGAAAATGAATCTTGATGTGAATGGAAGGGGAGAGGGAGTGGGAAAGGGGAGGGTTGCGGGTGGGAGGGACGTTATGGGGGGAAGCCATTGTAATCCATAAGCTGTACTTTGGAAATTTATATTCATTAAATAAAAGTTTAAAAAAAAGAGGATGTTCTAAAGTAAAACTAACAAAAATTCTTTAAGTATAAAGCAGTGTCAATGGAATGAATACATATAATGTTAGCAACTTGCCAGTCTAGGATAGCTTAGTCTGCTGCTTCTGAAACACTAAAATTGCAGAGCTGCCTCACTGTATAAATGCTAATCATTTGAGAAAAGGCTGGCCAACATTCAAAAGTCTACCTCCAACAAAGGAGTACAATGAAGTTGATAGTCTCATTTACAAATTTAAACAATGGTCTTTGTTTTTGGCATTCTGTTGTCACCAATATATTAAATGATAAAAAGAGAAGATTTAGCCATGCCCTAAAAAGATTTCATTGTTCTGATTCTTTTCAGTCCAACAACAAAAGTCATCAATAGCAAAATTTTTGGGATTTGAATTACACTAAAAATTTCCCTTCCTGAAGTACAAGTTGTGGTTCAGTGGACTAAGCTGCTGCTTGAGATGCCCAAATCCCACAATCAGAGTACCTAGGATTGAGTCTTGCCTCCATTTCTGATATTAATGTATCTGGGATGTAGTAGATGATGGCTGAAGTATTTTGGTTCCTGCCATTCATGTGGGAAACATGGATGGAGTTCCTGGCTCTTGGTTTTGGTGTGGCCCATGACTGGACTGTTGTGGGCTTTCGAGGAGTAGACCAGTGGATGAAAGATATCTCTGTTTCCCGTCTTTGTAACTCTGACTTTTAAATAAATAAATAAGGTTTTTTTAAAATTTCCCTGCCATTTGCAGTTTGCGAAGTGTATCTTCTTGATAATGCACCAGTGTTTTAATAGATATGAGAGATGATTTTCAAATGGTTGAAGCTTGGACTGACATTCAGCATTTCCTCTTCAGTTTCCATAAGGTCCTACACAACTGAGGACCAGGAGACAAAGAACTAATCAGCCACTGCAAACACAGGTTGGAACTGGCAGTTTCACCAACAAAAGCAATGCCAACTTAAGGACATTTTTCTGTCATTTTTGTGCAGTATGATAAGGTAAGATGTTAAAGATGCTAAGATTTCATAACTTGCTGTCATTGGTCATGGAAACCATCAGGGAATGCTAAGTCAGGGAGAATTAGGATGAAAGTGGCAGTTTAGGAAACGGAAATTAGCTAGATTGGAAGAGAAGTGGATGTGAGCCAAGATCACCTGGGGAATCCCTCCTTGCTAACATCTGGTACAGAATAATGAAGTGGGTTACACAGAGGTGGATTGGGAGCATGGGACAAAGAAAGTGATGTGGAAAGCATCTCTTTAGACACAGTAACAGCCTTTGACTCAAAACTTCAAAGCAAATAACATAAAGGTTTGAAAAATGATAGCAGCCACAGAAAAGCAGAAGCTAAGGAGAGGAAGTAAGTTTTGGTGGAGGAATCATTGTTTCTTTTAGTTTGGGATTTGAATGTTTATAGGCTTTTCTTCTATATTTTAAGTAACATTGAGGCCTTATTTAAACATGTTATTTCACAACAGTTTTAGATTATATATTATACCCTAACTGGGGAGAGATTCTATTGTGCCTGAATCATAAAGATAACAGAAGAATTTTCAGATTTAACATGACCGGGTATTCTAGGACAAGGTTCCGTGAGCACAGGCAGAAGAGGAAAGGCACGTGAGTCTCCAACATTCACCATGAACTTGGGCTTCACAAGCAACACCAAGGAGCCTTACCTGAAACATCAGTGGGCTGGTTGCAGATGAGAAGTTCAGACTCTTGACCATGTGACTCTCAGGATCATATTTGGACATAAATCCTTTGATGATGACCGTTTTGGCTGTCCCTTGCTCACCAATTAATAACACAGCCTAAAACAGAGGAAGTGGAGGACAGAATCCAAGAAATGAAATAAAGGGATTGCTAAGGGTTGAAATGTGCCCCCTCAAAATTCACCTTCAGTCCCCAGGACCTCATTGTAACTGGAGTAGACACAGAGCCTGTAATGGGGAGACTAAGACCAAAGGAGGCCGTTAGGACAGCCTGCTTGGTGCCCTACAGAGGAAACTTCAGGACTGCCTGCACACAGGCCAAAGCCAGAGGAAGACACGGAAAAGGTGACCACCTGCCAGTCATGGGAGGGGCCTCTGAGGAAGCAACCCTGCCTGTCTGGATCCTGGATTCAGTCCCCAGACCTGCAACAACAGAAATTGCTGCTTTTTAAGTTACAGCAGTTCTAGCAAACTACCACAAGGATCCAAAAAAGTGAAAATTCACTTCTTTGCTAACGCACAAGAAATATTTACTTCATTATGAATTAGAACTACTGAACTATAACACTGCTCTGGGGAATAATAAGAGAAATATACTAAGTTTGGGAATATTTTCACTTTGTCTAAACAGCAACGTAAGACATTATAAAATCATAAAGGGAGATTCCTGCTTTCAAGTGGTATTTCAACTTGCTATTGTTAATAAAAATTGAACACCATACCTTGCCCTGTTTAGCAATGGTTTTGATCAGAAAGTCGGTCCTCACATTGTCAACATTTGGCACCAGGATAGAGCCATACTCTGGAATGGAGTCTGAGGGATACACGTACTCCTGTGTGCGTGTGTTCCAGTGCATCCAGGTACCTGAAGTGAACAGAGAACACTCACGTCTTCCTAGGAACAATGTAATGCCAGCTGTAACAAGCAGATATTCAGACACCTTATGATGATACCTTCCAAATTCTCCCCATGAAACAAAACTCGTTGACATTAAAGATCTAGAGTGGGCATGTAACATGGCTACCTGAGAGTCCCAAGTCCCATACTGGAGACCCTGGGAGCCAGTCCTGGCTCTGCTTCCAATTCCGGCTTCCTACTAATGTGCATCCTGGGCAGGGCAGCAGATGGCTCAAGTAGCTATGTCCCTGCCACTCACACGGGAGGCCTGGATTAAGTTTCTAGTGGAATCAGAAAACTAGATCTTGGTCTTTCTGTTTTTCTGCCTTTCAAATAAAATAAAATAATTATTTTTTAAAAAATTAAAGATCTAAAGATGCAAATATGTGTCAAGTTAAAATTTCCCAAGGAACTATTCCATTGTGATATTAGAAGTATTATTTTTTTAAAATCTGTAGGTTTTCAATAATATAAACTCAAATAAAAATACAGAACACAGAAAAAATAGCCTATGTCTAAATTCATTAATGACTTTAAAATTTCTAATCTCGCAAGCTAGGATATCATATATATAAATAAAAATAACATAAAATTGTATATATATACATCTACTACATACACTATATATGTAGACACTGGGGGCACTTCAAAAAGATTATCGAAAAATGTAATTAAAAGATGTTTATTTGGGTGTCAAAAATTTTCAAAATTCATGCATAGTTTTTCATAACACACATTTTACACAAACTTTTTGAAGACCCCAGCATGCACTTTGTATATACACATATTAATAACCTTGAAGCATATACAGACACGTAGAATATACACATATTTTAAAAAATAAACTTCAGATTTTGTAGCTTTTAGATAAACTGCTTATACTAAAAGATTAGCCAAAATGGATCTCATTTGGGGATTTTTTAAATTTTTTTCTTGATTCATTAAAAATTCAGTATACTGTATATATAAGTGGAAATGTGCATCTGGAACACAAAATAAATTTTTAAAGAGAAATAATTAGCATGCTTTGTATATGAAAATTTCAATTGTAATTTCATAGCTAAGGAAAAGAAAACGTTTCACGTAAATATCAGCCCTTGGGAGAAAGCTGCTGGGGTTGCAAGGCCGACATGCTCACCATCGAGAGCCACGTAGTAGTCGAAGGCCGAGTCTCCGGGGCCGGCCAGCGGCGGCAGGTCCAGCGAGGATGCCGGCTGCTCCCGCAGCCAGTGCTCCAGGCGGCGCCGGCCAGCCGGCTCCAGCGCGGCGCCCACGCTCCAGAGCAGCGCGAAGATGTAGAGCCGCTGCAGGTGCTCTGGCCGCAGCTCCCCGCCGTGCTCCTGGGACCAGAACGAATGGCTTCAATGCGAACAGCAAACGTGCAAGAGGAGCGAGGGATAGCCCCAAAACAAGATTACAGGAAAAGATGGCTAGAACTGCAGAACAAATGAGGAACTTGCTTCTGGGAACAAATACCAAGCTGGCCTTAAAATTAAATTAGGGCTCCGTCTGAGTGACTTCATTAACCAGAAACTAGATCCCAAACCCACACCTTGCTTTGTATTTTATATAACAAAATGCAAAAATACATATATATAAAACAAATATATATAACAATATGTATGTATATCAAACAAATATATATATATATATATTTATATACATATATAAATGCAGGGACAGGCATTGGCCCAGCACTTCAGTTCTACCTGAGACAGCTGCTTCACATCAGAGTATCTTGGGACACGCACATCCCATATGAGAGTGCCCCGCTTCAAGTCCCTGCTCAACTTCCAATCCAGCTTCCAGCTAAAACACACCCTAGGAAGCAGTAGATAATGATTCGAGTTCTTAGGTTCCTGCCTCCCCTGTGGGAGACCCCACTCCTGGCTTTCTCCTGGCCTAACCATGGCAGGTGCAGGCATTTGGGGACTCAGCCAGTAAAACGGGAGACCCCAATTCCTTCCTCCTTCTCTCTCTCTCCCTCCTTCCCTCTTTTCCTTTCAAATATAAGAATGAAAAATTAAATTAAATTTAAAACATTTTAAATACCAAATATAGGTGGTCCATGTTTGAAATGCCCCCTAATCTAATTTCAGCTACAGTGCTCTGCAGGGCATGGCTTGGAGAGTAGGAGAGGGATTCTCCAGAGAGTGGAGCAGTTCACCTTGGGTGGGATCAGGCCTTGCAGCAAGTTGATGCTTTGAGTGACCACGAAGGCCTCCAGCAGGTCCATCTTGTACTCCAGGTTCTGAACACTGAAGCGGTACAGGTCTGGGAAAGACTCCGTGTAGAGCTGGCGAAGAGCCGTGGCCTCTTGGGGTGGGCGCTTCTTAAGGAAACCCTGTCAGTCCACAGATGAGGAAAATGGCCATTTTTGCACCAAAGTTTCTATGATGTTAACTAACAATGATAGCAATTTTTAATGACTGTACCACACTTACCAGGCCTTGTTATAAAGTCAGTCATGTTTTAATACATTAAATCCTTAGAACTTCCTGTGGGGTAGGAACTGTGATCCTCTTCCTTATACAGATGAGAATCTGAGGACCTAGGACCCCATAACCGACAGGTGGCAAAGCCAGAATTCAAACCCAGAGAACCAGCATCTGCAACCTGGCATCTCCACCATCAGCCAGTCCACTATACACATGCTTGGGTCTTTATTAAAGCCAAGAGGGAGAGTCTTCACCTCCTGGTTAAAATAGGCCAGAAGAAAATAAGAAGGCATATATGGGGAAATAACTTGGGAAAAAGAGGCAAAGAATTAAAGATGAGCAAAGGAAATCTGTACCTAGATTTAAATGGAAAACAAAGATTTGGGCTGGACCCCACTCAACATTTTCGAGCAGAGGCCCTGTGATCACCTCTGCCACAGATAAGAACCAGGACTGTGTTTCCAGGATATTGAGGGAAAATTCAGTAAAGGTGTGACTGGAACTATAAACAGCACAAAGCCTCCAAAAGCCAGCAAAGAAAGCAGAACAAAGCACAGGGCAGTTCCTACCCAGGTTCCCAGGTGAGGGACTCCCTCTGGTCAGGAAAAGGTAAGTAGAAAGCTCCAATACTTCCACCACAGCCCTAACAACAGTACAATTCCACTATCCTCACGGGCCTTGCATCCAGTCTAGAAAGCTGACTGGGGTCCAAGCAACTACTTTGTTCCCAAAAAGGAAGCCACACTTCCTCACTCCATCCCCAAAGCCCTGGACCTGAGCTGCTGCAGTATATCTGCAGCTATACTCCATCCTACATCAAGTAGACCTGTTAATACCAGAAGCCCCCACAGATGAAACCAGGGCCCTTTAAAAGGCAGGCAGCAGACCGCTTTGCATCCCTCAGCCATAGGGTTGCTGGGCACAAGCCCTGAAGTGATGGTACTCAGTCACTCTGCAAGATCTAGGCAAGTTTCTCTCTGCTTCTCAGGGCTTGGTATCAACAGCACAAGTACAGAAGACCAGACCTGAAGAAGTTGCCTTCTGCATCTCTTGGCATAGGAAACTGAGTAGCCAGGGAACAAGCCTTCAGCAACATCTTTGCATGCCATGTGAAAAACTGGGAGGGGTAACTTATGTATCCTGCAGCTATGGGAACTGTGGCTATTGTGCTACAATCCCTAGAGAAACTTGCCTGCCCTGCTTCAGACTGCTGAGGAAGTGTGGCTTCCCCAGCATAGCCAGCACTCTATTTGTTGTGAGACCTGGGTAAGGACTCCACTTCACCCTGAAACTCTGGGCCTAGGAATGTTTGTTCTATATGTCCCAAAAACACTTGCACTCACCTGTGGGTCATAGAAAAGGCCTCAACTGCATTCCACCAATTCAGGCTTGCACATTCTTGTACACAATACCCAGCATAACCTATAACCCTATGGGATATATAAGATACCCTCTGGGTCCTACAGCTCTGAGACTAAAATTGTTGGAGCTATATTCCATGGAGTCACCTGAGTTCTCCCAATTTGACCTGGGATGGACTCTATCTGCATTCCACTGCTCCACATCCATATCTGTCAGTGCCAAATCCCCAGCATAATCAGTACATGGAACATGACACCTGACTAAGTTCTCCATCGCAACCTGCAATTCTTGGACTGTGACTGTTGGCTCTCTAAGTCTCAAGAGCACAGGTGCTTGCCCTCTGTGACCTGGGGGAGGATATGTTTCCGTCACATTGCTGTAGGCCCACAATTGCCAGCGCACAGTCTCCAGTAACCCACACTTTTCCCATGGAATCTGAACAATGTACCCTTTCTGCTATTCAGTTCTAGGACTCTATTAGTTCAGAACCCTACCAGAGTCATTGGAACCCACCCTTCAAGACCTAGGGAAGACCCTACCTGCATTCTACTGCTCCAGGCCCATACTCGGCAGTGCACAATTCCCAGCATAATCCGTATTCCCTCTCACAGGACAAGGGCAAGTTCCTCTTTATATCCCCCAGTACTCGTAGTAGAATTTTTGGTGCTATAATACCCAGCATCCCCCCCCCCACACACACACAGAAGGCCCTCGAGAAGTTTCCATCTACATCACACAATTCCAGGACCACAGTTAATAATGTCATAAGCCCCAGCATCACTCAAGTTTGTCTAGGGGGGATAATTAGCTCCCCCTGGGTCCTATAGCACAAGGAATGTGTATACAGCCATCATAAAATAGAGTGTGATTAACAACTCAATTATCTGGGAGCTGAAGACACACACCTTTGGAAGGCCATGTTCATTTCAAAGTCTTATTATTACTTCCATTAACTGCTGCAGACTAGACAACTATAGGACCCATAGTCACTGCTGACACTGATTATAAACAAAGAAATCACTCAAATGTTACATTTCTTGGTTGATCTATAACCAAAGCCAAAGCAACTATCCAACTGGTACCCATCATTCAATCTCAAAACATAAGTATTCCATCTAAACAAAAAAGCTATTTCATAAAGAAGGAACTATCACACAAGATGCACAGTTGTCGATGTAGGAACACAGAAAACATGAAGGAAAAAGAAGCATCACATCTCCTAAAGAACATGAGAGTTACCTAGAAGTATATCCTAGCTGGCTCTAGGCTCAATAGGCTAATCCTCCGCCTACAGCACCAGCACACGGTGTTCTAGTCCCGGTCGGGGTGCCAGTTCTGTCCTGGTTGCTCCTCTTCCAGTCCAGCTCTCTGCTGTGGCCCGGGAAGGCAGTGGAGGATGGCCCAGGTGCTTGGGCCCTGCACCCGCATGGGAGACCAGGAGTAGCACCTGGCTCCTGGCTTCGGATCAGTGCGGTGCGCCGGCCACCACGGCCATTGGGGGGTGAACCAACGGAAAAGGAAGACCTTTCTCTCTGTCTCTCTCTCTCTCACTGTCTGTCTCTTTCTCTCTGTCTCTCTCACTGTCCTGTCAAAAAAAAAAAAAAAAAGAAGAAGAAGAATATCCTGACTTGAAAGAAATCTGAAGAATTCAAAATGATGATCCTAAGGAAATTCAATGTAATTTAACAAAACACAGGCAATTGAAAGAAATGGGGAAAACGATGCATGAAGTGAATGAGAAATTTACCAAAGAGATAAAAATCATTTTTAAAAATCAAACAAATTTCAGAATTTAAAAACTTCAGTAAATGATATAAAAATATATAATTGACAGTTTCAACACCAGAATAGACCAAGTGGAAAAAAACAATTTCCGATCAGGAGGACAAAACTTTTGAAATTACCCAGTCATACAAAATAAAGAGAGAAAATTAATAAGAATAAAAAAGCCCTACGTGACAAATAGAATTCCATTAAGTGAAAAGGTGTTTGTATTAGGGATACCTGGAGGAGAAGAGCAAGAAAAAGGCATTGAGAACCTATGGAATTAAATCATAGCTGAAAACTTACCAAACCTTAAAGAAATATGAACAAATGGATTCAGGAAGCTAAAAGGACCGCAAACAAAGTCAATCAAAAAAGACTTTTTCTAAAGTATATTATAGTTCAACTGTCAAAATTAAGGACAAAGAGAGAATCCTAAAAACAGTGAGTTAAAAATGTCAAGTTTCATATAAAGGAAAACCTGATAGACTAGCAGAAGACTGCTCTGCAGAAACCATATAGGCTAGAAGACAAGGGGATTTTATGTTCAAGGCTTTGAATAAAAAGACTTCTAGCCAAGAATACTATATTCAGCGAAGCTATCCTTTAGAAGTGAAGGAAACATAAAGTACTTCTCAGACAATCAAAACTGAGAGACAGTTCATCATCACCAGTTCAGCCTTAGAAGAAATCCTGAAGGGAATCCTCCATTAGAGGTAACTGTCATGAAAACACATGACAATATGAAATTCACTAATGGAGCATATACATGAAAGACAAAGTGACCATGACAGAAATCTACCAAAACAACAAAGGTAAACAATAATAGAGGGAGAATGAAACAGAAAATAAAAAACAGCCAGTAAACAAACAACAAAACCACAGGAGTCAGGTCTTATCAATATTAACCTCGGAGGCAAATGGATTAATTTCCCCAGCCAAAAGATATAAGATGGCTGAATGTCTTTAAAAAAAAAAGAAAGAAAGAAAAAGAAAAACCTAAGAAATAAATCCCATTCATAACTAGAAAAAATTAAATATTTAGGAATAAATTTAACCAAAAAGGTAAAAGATCTCTAATGAAAAGTTTAAAATACTGAGGAAAGCAATCACCAAGCACCCAAGGACACAAAATTGCAAAGATATCCCTTGTTCAAAGATTGGAAGAATCAGTATCACTAAAATGTTCATACTACCTAAAGCAATCTACAGAGTCAATGCAATTCCTACGAAAATATCAATGATATTTTTTATAGAATTAGGGGGGGAAATCCTAGAATACATTTGGAACCACAAAAGGCCCAGAATAGCCAAAGCAATCCTGAGTGGGAAAAAAACCAAGCTGGAAGTATCACAATGCTTATATAAAAACATACTACAGGCCAGCGCCGCGGCTCACTAGGCTAATCCTCCGCCTGCGGCTCCAGCACACCGGGTTCTAGTTCCAGTCGGGCACCAGATTCAGTCCCGGTTGCCCCTCTTCCAGGCCAGCTCTCTGCTGTGGCCCGGGAGTGCAGTGGAGGATGGCCCAAGTCCTTGGGCCCTGCACCCCATGGGAGACCAGGAGAAACACCTGGCTCCTGGCTTCAGATCAGCGCGGTACGCTGGCCGCGGCGGCCATTGGAGGGTGAACCAACGGTAAAGGAAGACCTTTCTCTCTGTCTCTCTCTCTCTCACTGTCCATTCTGCCTGTCAAAAAAAAAAAAAAAAAAAAACTAAAAATAAAAATAAAAAAAAGATACTACAAAGCTATAGTAACTAAAACAGCTTGGTACTGGCA